CATCGCTTCTAGTAACAGGTGCCTTACTAGTAGTAACAAGAAGCTACGGGCTCCTGGCCTTACTAGGAGCGATTGGACGCTACTAGGAACAAAGAATCAGGTTAGCTCGTTTTCGACATTGGTCCACGCGGCCATTTTTGCCGAAACTGCTGCATGCAGGTGGAAAGCCGTAGCAATGCTTTCGATACCTTCAGTTGGGTCACTGAGGCAGGCAGTGATGCTCGTTGTTTTTGGTTGATTGTGGGTTAGTGTTCAGCTTGCCTGCGACAAGGCATCATCAGACACAAGACTGATACAGCTTTGATTGCATTGTTTCTTATGGAGGCCATCCCTATTAGGTTGGAGGCCGTTCTTTGCGAAGGCAGCACACACGGAGGGCCCACGGTTTTGCCGCCCTGTGGCACTTCGTGCCTATGACAAAGCCGTCAGAAGCCTACAGAAGCTTGCAGACTGTGAACTCGGAGTAACAAGAAGCTACTAGGAACAAGTGCATCGCCGGCTTCTAGTAACAAGTGCCTTACTAAGCAGTAACAAGGACGCTACTAGGGGCTCCTGGCATCGCTACTAGGAGCAAGGACGTTACTAGGAACACCGCCAAGGAATTGGTCCATCGGAGAGAACGACTCTGTTTCGTTTTTCCTTCTTTCCTTCTTCCTCTTCTGTTTCCTTGTATTGTTCCTTTCTTTCTTTCTTTCTACAATTCTTCCCTTTTGTAGTTTTTTTAAAATGTAACTTCATTTTTCTTCACGTTGACTCTTGTAGACCTTTCTTCCTTTTTTGTGTCTATTTTTTGTGTTCCCTTTTTTCCTCATCCTTTCTTTTGCCAACAACTCGATCGAAGGTATCTTTGCTTCCAGCTTTGGTTGCCGGAGACTGAAGATGAAACCGTGATGTTGCCGGGTGTTGTTCCTTCACACCCTTTCGCATGTAACGAACGCATGCAACGAACCCTAAGTCAACCCACTAAGTTCGCGACAGCATTGGCAAATTAACAGGATTCTATGTTGGCAAATGATGTGATGTGCCCTTGTCGTCCATAGGCTTCCCTGAAACGGTCGTCACACCTTGAGGTGCACACCTTGTTGTGTCACAAAGTGCGGCCATATCTGCAGTCCAGGCGTGCGTGTCGTCTACGTCGTTATGAACGTAACAAGGACGCTACGAACAGGGCTCCTGGCATCGCTACTAGTAGAAAGAGGACGCTACTAGGAACAAGGGCATTTCTACTAGTAACTAGAAGCTACTAGTAACAAGAAGCTACTAGGAACAAAGGGCATCGCTACTAGGAGCAAGAAGCTACGACCGTAGCTAAGGGCATTACTACTAGATCTACTAGCTAGAAACGCTCTGTTGGGCGAAATGCAGTGGCTTGGAGCCTCAATAGCCTTGAGCCTCCAGGTGGCCGCTCATGAAATACTTAGCTTTGCTCCTGCCAAATCCGCAGCGGCGTGAGTTTGCGTCACGAACCCGGCATGTGAACATGTTCAGCCGCTTTGTGCCTCAAACTTTGGCAGAAAGAGTTTGCAGGGCACCTGGAAAGCACCTCACTAGTAGGTTGGAGGCCATCGCTACTAGGAGCAAAGGGCATCGCTACCAGGAGCAAGAACACTACTAGGGGCTCCTGGCCGTACTACTAGGAGCAAGTAGCTACTAGGTTGGAGGACGTGGCTAGTGGGTTGGAGGGCACCTGGAAAGCTATGTTGGACAACTTCTTCGCTGTTAGGTGCAAACGTGTGCTATTACAGCACATTTTGGAGCTGTCCAAACCTACGACCGAGGCCCAAATGGACGATAATTCCGCTTGTTGTTTGTTTTGAGACATGACAAGGCTTAGGTTTTTTTTCCTTTAAGCCTCAAGTTCTCTTTTCTATTTCTTGGTTTTATTCGATTTTTCGATCGGCCCTTGATCGTACAGGTCATAAGATGTCCACGCGTGTGTGTGGGCTACAAGGCTGAAACAGTCACGATCTCAGCACGTCCAAAAATGAGGCAGAAAAAACAAAAGACAGAAACATGAGAGAAAAAGACACCTACTTGCGATGGCCTCCAACCTAGCAGCGATGGCCATTAATACAAAATTTATTCCATTCCATTCCAAACAAACGAGGTTTCTTCCTTTATTCGATTAAGCCGGAATGCTGTTGAAATTCTTGCCGATTAGCCTTGGGACACATGCTCAGGCAGTCGAAAAGTAAACAAGAAAGCATGCAAAACACGTGGAATGATAAAACAACTGTAGCAACTCATTTGGCCATCGCTATTAGGTTTGAGGCCTAGTAGGTTGGAGGCCATTGCTTCTAGGTCAGAGGCCATCTCTTGTTGCCTTTTGCCTAGGTGGTCTCGCTGGGGAAGGGCCGCAGCTGCGTCTCCTCGAAGCTCTCAGTGGAGCGACCCTTGAGCCTTCTGCAGGAGCGGATGCAAATCGCCATCTCGTCCCGAAAGGCTAAAGCAAACATAGCAGCGTGTTCGCTCCAAATAGTACGGCCAGGAGCCCCTAGTAGCGTCCTTGCTCCGAGTAGTACGGCCAGGAGCCCCTAGTAGCGTCTTTTCTCCTAGTAGCTATGAACGCCCAGGAAAACAATAAAGCAGCATTGCTGGCATTGCGTTTTAAACATTTCTTTCATCATTTGTCACGTTTTTAAATGGTGTCGCGGAAAGCATGACTGCCGGGGCCTGTCTCTTTTTCTCATCAGCAGGTAGTAGGTCCGGGGAGGAGAAGGTTGCCAAGTAGCCCCAGATTCTGATAGACGCAAAAAACGGAAAAACAAGACAATGAAAAAGAAGACAACTCCTTGTTGTCCTCTCTTGTTCTTTTTCCTTATCCTTTTCTCTTCAAACAGTTTACTGTTGGGTTTCGGTTTTAGGAACTGCCGCCCGCCCTTTCTTCCCCAACCTGTACGTGCCACCTGTTCCCTTGCTTTTACCCGCAACCTGTTCCCTTTCTCCACCGCCTGGTCCGATTTTTTTGCTATGAATGCAACCATGTTACTGCGTTTCAAACATGATATCATGTTTCTTTGTTGTTTACATGCTGTTCCCAAACCGCTGGAGGCTTTTGGAATACAGTTAATTGCAGAGTCTTCCGCCAACGTTGGAATTCAAGGATCTGACGCAAAAGGTCCCAGTAGCTTCTAGTTCCAAGCCAATTCTAATTAACATTCTAATTCTTGTTTCTAGTAGCTTCTTGCTCCTAGTAGTACGGCCAGGAGCCCCTAGTAGCGTCCTTGCTCCCCTTTCAAGGTGGTCTTGGCTATTCCCCTTTCAAGCCGTTCCCGCATCCCCAAAGCCGGCTGAGTGGCCAGGCACCTGGGCCTCTTTCGGACGTGCAGCGGCGCGTGGGGGCCCTCAGCCTTTGGAGTTTTCTTCCTTTTTTGGCCAACAAGGAGCAAGCACGCTACTAGTAGCTCCTGGCCATACTACTAGGAACAACAAGCTACCAGGGGCCACCAACCTGAATAGCAATGTCCTCCAACCAACTACGGATGGCCTCCAACCTACTAGCGATGGCCTCCAACCTAGAAGCAATGGCCTCCAACCTCAATAGCAATGGCCTCCAACCTCAATAGCAATGGCCCCCAACCCAGAAGCAATGGCCCCCAACCTAGAAGCAATGGCCTCAGACCTAGAAGCAATGGCCTCCAACCTGAATAGCAATGGCCTCCAACCTAGAAGCAATGGCCTCCAACCTAGAAGCAATGGCCCCCAACCTAGAAGCAATGGCCTCAGACCTAGAAGCAATGGCCTCCAACCTTTCGTTTCAAGCATGGTGTGAAGTTCGGAGATTAGCTGAAAACGATGCAGCGCTTATAATGCCTCTTACAATTTGGCGCCATTACTTATTTGGTCAACTAGTCATGTATACCAAACATAAAGAATATACAGCGGATTTCATATAAACACGAATTTCAACCATATTTGCCAACCTAGAAGCAATGGCCTCCAACCTACTAGCGATGGCCTCCAACCTACTAGTGATGGCTTCCAACCTACTAGGGATGGCCTCCAACCTGAATAGCAATGGCCTCCAACCTAGAAGCAATGGCCCCCAACCTAGAAGCAATGGCCTCAGACCTAGAAGCAATGGCCTCCAACCTGAATAGCAATGGCCTCCAACCTAGAAGCAATGGCTTCCAACCTAGAAGCAATGGCCTCCAACCTACTAGCGATGGCCTCCAACCTACTAGTGATGGCCTCCAACCTACTAGGGATGGCCTCCAACCTGAATAGCAATGGCCTCCAACCTACTAGGATGGCCTCCAACCTGAATAGCAATGGCCTCCAACCTGAATAGCAATGAATAGCAATGGCCTCCAACCTGAATAGCGATGGCCTCCAGCCTACTAGCGATGGCCTCCAACCTACTAGCGATATTCTTTAGACTTATCCTTTTTCTTTTTGTCCAACCACCTTTTTGCTGGGTGGATTTCACATCACAGGTGTTGGCTGCACTTCTGCCCATGTGCTGCTTGCCGTACGCAAGAAGCTCCCTTCGTGGAAGCACACGGGACCTCTGGCTTTTCTGAGCGGAAAGCAGGTGATGTCGCGAACCAAGAGATACAAAAGACGAGCGGTAGAACTGTAGAACATGTGTTGAACATGAATCAAAGCAAAGAAACAGAGACGAAAACACAAGAGAAACTGGGGAAAAGACCAGAGAAACATGCTAAGATTTGCGCAGGACTGGGTCATTGGACTGCTCCTGGCTTGGGGCAAGGCCTTTCATCGCCTCACCGTGGGTTCTTGTGAAATCCGACGGTGGCCTAGTAGCGAACCTTGTTTCTAATAGCTTCTTGTTACTACTAGTAAGGCACTTGTTACTAGAAGCGATGCACTTGTTCCTAGTAGCTTATTGTTTCTTAGCTTTCTAAAACGTATGTGTTCTGACAAAAGGGTATGTGTTCTTGGCAGCAAAAACATGTATTTTCTGTATTCCAAGGGGAGCCCTCGTATGTGATCTTGCATCAATTTTCCAAGCTGGGTGCAGAGGGAGGATCCATGTCTCACATAAATGCCAATGTATGAATATGTACTGCACGTGCAATATGTAAGGGAATGTTTGTTTGAATGCTGGTGACATGGACGCTACTAGGAGCTTTTTCGCGCGCGCGGGGGGGGTGGAGGACGCTACTAGTAACAAAACCTATTTCGCACGTTGCCTTGAAATCACTTGCACCCAGAGACCATGCCGAAAGCAGGGCTTCGCATAAGGTAAACAGCCGTGACCCTGGACACTTATTATGTAGGTTGGAGGCCATCGCTAGTAGGTGGGGCCACGAAGTACCTATAGAAAGCAGCATTCTAGCCCTGCTGACTGCAGAAAGAAAGTGATTTATGGAAGCTGGCAAACCACTTCTTCCATCTGAGCATACTTGTAAAGAGACAACAATGTAACATGACTTTGCAGCAGTCCTAGCACGAGGACAACATGAACACATGCGTTTTGCAAGCGTTGTTGAACAAAGTTAAATCTGTTTACTGGTACCAGCTTTGCATGTTTAATTAAGCAAGTTGTGGTCTCCTGAACAATACCTAGGAAACATTTGTTAGATTGAAAGCGGGGTTGTGCGGATTCTCATATGAGAGGTGAAATAGTTTTGTTCCCATATACCTTCCAGAAAGCTGTTGCACATGCCCGATCTCGTTTGAGAGCTATACAGCTGAGTATCCAACAGCTCCATGGGAACAGACAACAAGCTTTTTACACATTTACGACTAGTAGTAACAGGTGCCACGCTAGTAGTAACAAGTGCCACGCTTCTAGTAACAAGTGCCTTACTACTAGTAACAAGAAGCTACTAGAAACAAATGCATCGCTAGTAGTAACAGATGCCTCATTTGCTGTGAACGGTCTTGTACGCAGAGACTATGACTAATCGATTCTACTCCAAACATTGTGGGGTTTGAACACATTGTTTTGTCAGGGCTTCTTGTAGGATAAAGCTGTTGCAACGACACCTGCAAATTGAAGCGATGGCCTCCAACCTCGTAGCGATGGCCTTCAACCTAATAGCAATGGCCTCCAGCCTAAGAGCGATGGCCTCCAACCTAGAAGCGATGGCCTCAAACCTAGCGACGGCCTCCAAGCTTCTAGCGATGGCCTCCAAACTACTAGGGATGGCCTCCAACCTGATAGCAATGGCCTCCAACCTAGAAGCAATGGCCTCCAACCTGGACCTAGAAGCAATGGCCTCCAACCTACTAGCAATGGCTTTTAACTGTAAACTCATTGTCTTCTGGGTTGCAAAAGTGGATTATATATATACTTGCTTTGGATTCGAATTTCTAGGGTTTATTTCCGCAGTCAGTCCAGACTTAACTTCGAGTAGCGTGCTACCAGTCACCTGTGGCAATTACCAGGCCCTCTAGAATCTAGAGAACTTTTTCTTTGGGAAAAACCTTGAACTACTACAGTGCATCGCTTCTAGTAACAAGTGCATCGCTTCTAGTAACAAGTGCCTTACTACTAGTAACAAGAAGCTACTAGGAAAAGCCTGTTCTTTGCGATTTGGTTTCCTTGTAGTAACAAGTGCCACGCTAGTAGTAACCAGAATCTACTAGAAACAGATGGATTTGGTTTCAATTTCCAACAGGTTGCCGCTTCGTCCCTCCAACTGAACTTGCCCTAGTGCCACGCGCTTGGGACACCTTTGACTGGGCCCGGGAGTTCTTTTTCGTTGCCGATTTCAGATTTATCAAGAACCCAGAAGCGATGGCCTCCAACCTAATAGCGACTTCTAGGTTTCAAAACAACGTTGATCGATTTCTTTTGTCTAGAAAATCATTTTGGGTCCTGCCTTAGAAAGGGCGTGTTTTGATTGTCCTGAGTTCTAAGGACTCGACGTTCTGACCACCATCCGAGCTGGATGATTGACGCATTGGGTCACACATACTAAGGGTCAGCACATGAGTGTGAAAATACCCGCTAGAGAATGGATGAGCTGCGTTTGCTTTAACGTATTTGCAGCATATGGCTTCTAGCAGAAATGCATAAACAATACTTCTTGACGATGCAATCATCCTGCGTGGGAGCTTGAAATCTGTTGTTCTTGAGCGACAAGCTGTCGCAGTGGAACAGTGCAGTGGTGTCAAGTGATGTCAAGTTGTCTTAGATGTTCGCAGCAGTGAAACCAAGCTTCTTTGCTTCCTTGAGCTGCAAGCGACAAACGTCCTCGTAGATCTTGAAGTCCGTGTGAAGCTCCAAACCACCCTACGTGCGCTCATATCACTGTAGAGTGTGCAAGGAGAACTGTGATAAATCTTCAGATCAATTTGGAATTTCTGAGATTCTGTTGGTTCATTGATCTGTTGAACTGAGCGGGTAGCGGGTTCGCGTGGGCGTGGGCTTCCGCTGGATGACCGACTTGGTGCAAATCCGCCCACGGCACTGCCTTGGCACCGCCTTCACAGGAAGGCCCAGGTGTTTGGGCTGCCAAATTTGGCGCACGTGAGGCGCAGCGCGCAGCTTTGCACCTCCGCCGCCTGAAAAAAGAGACATGAGGCATTGCTAGTAGTAGCAATGTTCGCTACTAGGAACAAAGGGCATCGCTACTAGGAGCGATCGGACGCTACGAACGGGGCTCCTGGCCTTACCACTAGTAACAAGAAGCTAAAGCGGACGGCGACGTCACCTCGCTTGAAGGACGAAATGCCATTCTCTTACTTCGCTTGAGGACGTGACTTTCCGCAAAACAAGGCTCAAGAGGACGCAAGACGTCGACGAAAAAGAATTCCCTTCCCAACGATTCTGAGCTTCAGAAGTTTCATTCAAAAGCTTTTCTCATTCTTTTAGAGGAACCTGTCCGGAGGTCATAATCTATGTGGACAGCAAGCTGAAGGATCGACCGAACAAAAGCAGGAGCAGAGTCTCATAGATAAAGCTGCAAGCTACAACATGGGGCGGGTTTCAATGTATTGGGGCATTTTTCTTTAACGTGACCAAGTGCTACACAAGTTTTAGAGTAACATCAATGGACGGTACTAGGAACAAGTGCATCGCTACTAGGAGCAAGTGCCTTACTAGTAACAAGAAGCTAGTAGAAACAGTGATTAGGACCTCAATTCAGGAAGCAAGGACGCTACGAACGGAGCAAAGGTCGTTAGACGGGTTTGGCTCCACATCCATGGGTGGCTCCTGCAGCATTTTGAGCGCTGCAGAGTCTTCGACTCAAAGATTCAAGTCGCTTCGAGTAACAAGTGCCTTACTAGTAGTAACAGGTGCCACGCTAGTAGTAACAAAGGGCATCGCTACTAGTAACAAGAAGCTACTAGGAACAGGTGCCTTACTAGTAGTAACTAAGAAGCTACTAGGGGCTCTTCGACTCAAAGACTCAAGCTTGTTTGATCGTTTCATACACCTCCAACCTAGTCGCGATCTTCTTTCTTTTTAAGGGGCCAGTTTTCCAATTTCTGTGATTCTTTCATTCTTTCTTCCACATCACGATGTGAAGCGGCTTTTGCATGGCAGTGCAGTATGGAACGGTCCATTTTTCCCAAAGACAAGGGACCGTCTCGTGCGTTCTGCTCGTGGTGTCAGGTGCCGGCAATGCATTCAAACCGGTTCAGAGCAGAACACCGGGTTCCCTGTGGTGAACGCCAGGCGATGGGCCGTTGTGTCGGATTCGGACTGACTCGCGATGGCAGAACAAGCTAGCGATGTCCGTGGATGTAAGGAGACCGAACTGAGGCTGATCAAGCTTTTGCACTTGAAACACGGGTTACAGCATGTCACAGCATGTGACATCGCTACTAGGAACAAGGACGCTACTAGGGGCTCCTGGCATCGCTACTAGCAGCAAGGACGCTACTATGGGCTTGGAGCAAGATTTTCTTTTCGCACTTGAAGGGTGTCAACGTTTGAGGCTCTTGGATGCAGCAAGACTCGGCAGCCGAGAGGCACCATGGCGACACTGGAAGATGCCATGGTGTCGGTGTGATGATGACACTGCTACTAGGAACAAGAAGCTACTAGTAACAAGGGCATTACTACCAGGAACAATTGGCATGAAGCTACCAGGAACAAGGACGCTACAAACGGACGTTACTAGTCCACCAGGAACAAGCTTCGTAGCGATGCACGGACGTTACTAGTCCACCCGGACGGTACCGAAGCCATCACGGCTCATCACGGCTCATCACGGCTCTGACATGACGGGTTGACGCAGACATCGGTGGGCCTCGGCTGGTAGGTCGGAGGCCGCTACTAGGGTGGAGGTCATTGCTATTAGCCTGGTGGGCCTCATCCATTCATCCCCAAGCATTTTTCACGGTAATCCTCTCGGTGCATCGCTTGCAGCATAGCGGAAACTGCATTGGCATGGACGATCGCTTGGATGGCCTCATAGGCAAAGCCTTGGAAATCGAAACAGAACAATTTCGATTAGGTTATGAGCCCCTAATAGCTTCTTGTTCCTACTAGTAAGACACTTGTTACTAGAAGCGATGCGCTTGTTCCTAATAGCTTCTTGTTACTAGTAGTAAGGCACCTGTTACTACTAGCGTGGCACTTGTTCCTAATAGCTTCTTGTTCCTAAAACAAAAACGAGGTGACGTCGCCGTCCGCTTTAGCTTCTTGTTACTAGTAGTAAGGCAAAGAACCCCTAGTAGCGTCCTTGCTCCTAGTAGCGATGCCCCTTGTTCCTAGTAGCGAACATTGCTCCTAGTAGTAGTCCCAACACACCAATTTGCCATCGGCGGCCTTTCGCAGGTAATCCGGACATGGAGCACATGGTCAATGCACCTCAGAGAATCGAAGAAAAACGAAGCATGTCTTTTCGCCGACCTAGCGAGGTCTTCGTGTCCCTTTGTGATTCTTTATGCCTTGTTACTAGTAGCCATGTTTTTCGCTCCTAGTAGCGTCCGATCGCTCCTAGTAGCGATGCCAGGAGCCCCGTTCGTAGCGTTTCTTTCTCGTTTCAGGTCTCGGATTTGGTGCCTCCACAGATCAACGAGAAGAACTTGTGGCTGTTAGGGGTCCACGACTTACATTCTCCGTTCCGCCGCAACGCGCAAAGCGCCGCACTGGTTGGCCTTATGAGGTTGGAGGCCCTTGCTAGTAGGGTGGAGGCCACGCAGAGTCAGAGGTGCAAGAACCTTTTGGGGATTTGGCCGCTGATTGATCTGTTTGGTCGCATTGGAGGGACGGCAAATATCCGTGGCGGTGGGCCATGTCTCCCGGGGTGTTTCTGGGCACGTTTTGCAGGTTTGCTCTGTCGTATCGCCAACCAACATGTCGATGCGGCTGGTGAATATGTTGAAGCCTCCCAACATGTCGAAGACATCTAGTTAGGCAATACAGTCGAATACAGTGCATGGATCTCTTGTGCAAATCTTGGTGTGTTTCAAGCCTTCTTATACTACTGTTTTGACCTGGACAATTTGTGTATCAGGTGCTTTTGGCAGTCTTTGGTACCTTGGTGGGAACCATTGGAAAACAGATGATCCGACGATCAGAAATGTTGAAGCAGGACGTGCAGACAAATTGCATGATCTTGTGCATTCTATTTAGATTCTATTTATTGTTTCTAATAGCTTCTTGCTACTACTAGTAAGGCACTTGTTACTAGAAGCGATGCACTTGTTCCGAGTAGCTTCTTGTTACTACGTACTAGTAAGGCACTTGTTACTAGAAGCGATGCACTTGTTCCTAGTA